ACTCCGGCTGTTGTCGAGTCCACGTCACCAAGAGCTGGGCACTTCAGGACTAACGTGACCTCAAAACCATGCACGTTTCCTTAGGGGTAGCGTAGGCATGAAGGCAGAAGTCAGATTTTTGGAGCCCTACTGGTTCTTTTGTGGTTAGGGTGGGGACCGTTATGTGGACCATGGAGCACCATTTAAGCGCGACTGAGCTGACCCCTCGAAACACAATGGTACACCTCCCATTGCATGCTAAAAGTTGGTGGGTGTAAGAAGCGGTGAATTGTGGCCGGCTATCCGTGCTGCTTAGTTTCCTAATGCTGCCTTCTCCCCTGATAACAACCCTATCACCTCTCCTAAAAACAAAATACTCGGGATGCTGGAAATTTGGAACAAACACAACGCTGGAGAAACTCAGCAGCTCTGGCAGCAAATGTGGATCCAAGAATCAGAATTAATGTTTCGAGTCCTGTATGATGACTCTTTTTAAAAACTTGAAGTCATACTGGATTCTAAATATTAACTCTGTTTCTCTTTCCACAGATGCTGCCAGACCTGCTGAGTTTCTCCAGCATTCTATTTGTCCCACTTGTCACCATGTCTCCAGTGGGCTAAGGGCTGGGAGCATTCAGCCTGATGTGTGATAGCCAGCTTCAGGTTGAGAATATCTTTCATGCTGGAAAAGCACATACCAGAGCTCCTTGACCAAAATACACATTTGTATAGAAATATGCTGAAAAGCTATTTAAACTCTATTGTATACAAGTGCAATAGAAACGTCAGCCTTCCTGCTCCTCGGATGCTGGTTGGCCTGCTGTGTTCATCCAACTGTCACCTTGTTATGACAGAAACGTGTTGTTCGATTTTATGACTTTTAAAAATAAAACTTTCAAATGAAACTTGATTCTAATCAGAAGGTTAAACGTATGTAAGTTTTCTCATTTGTTTGACGAGATATGTTCCAGCAATTCCGACTCCATTTACCAATGAAACTAGTTGCCCCTTTAACAAAGGAACAGTAGGCATATTGACATAGCTGCAAAGTTGCTAAAGAAAGTAATAATTAAACTGTGTTCTATCGAACATCCTGAAGAACCGGTTTGGCCAGTTTGCCTCCAGACAGCTGACTTGAAATGACACCTCTTGAAAGTGCCTCAAGTAAGAATTTTTTGAATCAAGCATTCAACAAGGAAAGGAATTCCAATATGAGCCGAGTATTCTGTTAATTTTTAGCTGTGTCAATTACTTTCTCACTGTGCTGTAACTGGCATTTTGCCTGTTAAAGCCTCGGATTGTGTGTCTTTTTGAAGTGCTTGCAAAAAAAAATCTCGGGCGAATTCCTTCCCCCTTGTTGATTTCATGCGAAATAGTTGGAAGGAGGTGGATTCTGGGAGGTAACTTCATATTTTAAAAAAATGACGATGCTGACATGAATCGTCGGTGGGAGGAGTAAATGTGCGAAAGCTTGGAACTCACTTGGGGGAAGCTGGAACCAGGCTAAAGATGCAGTACGAAGAAGGTTTCAATGGTTTTAACACAGGCAGCAAATGGTTCCTAGGCGCTTTATGAAAAACACGCACGTGAAAGTGTATGTTATGTTTCACCTTCTATCACTGGTGAGTTGATTTCCGAGTGCAAATAAGCCTTTATTAATGTTTGTGGTGCCATAGACCTTTTTATGTAGTCAGTGGTGTGTTTTCAATTTTACTGTCAACAGTTCCTATCAGGAAGTTTTAGGTAACTACTGCGTCCAGAGGAGGAGAAAAGACTTTAAATGTGACCTGTAGTTTTGCTTCGTGTTTATTAAGGTGCTAGGTTGGAAGTTTTGTATCCCTTCAACAGAAAGTTCAGCTTAAAACTTCTCAAGTTTTTTAGAAAATGCCTTTTAAAAATAATATCCATATTGGCTTATGTAAAAATTAATCACTTCATAAAGCAACTGAACTCCATGAACAGAATACACATCGATTTTAAATGGTAACTACTATCCATGAAAGAGTGAGTTGGCAAAGTGCGTTGATGACAAATCACATTAAAAGGGAAGATGGTAGTAATTGGGAAAAGGAAGTTATGGTAAATGTTCAGTCTTTATGGTAACACTGTATTGAATGCAGAGCTATAATAACATTGCCAGTTCTGTTTTAGGACTGCATTTCTCATATTTTGAATGCTGCACCCTTTCTGACCCTAACCATGCAGGGTTCCTTTTATTCACTAGCTAGTCATAGTTTTCCACCTCATGCCGACTCAATTTCTTGTATTTTCAGATATTCCAGTGGAAACAGCTTGAAAATTTATACTTCCGTGAAAAGAAGTTTGCAGTGGAAGTTCATGATCCTCGTAGGTAAGATGTTTACTTCGCTATCATAACACATTTTAGTCAAAGATATTTTAATGTAGGCTTTGTTACAAGTATATTTATTGAATCTAACATGCTATGTTCAAGCAAATCTTGAAACTGATGATTATTTACTGAAGCAATTGATCTAAAATTTGCATTTACTTCTGCAGTTTATGAACAATAAAACTACCATGAAACAGATTTTTGTGCTGAATTTTGTTCAGTTTTGTAGCTAGTTTATAACTAATTTTTGCACACTTTTATAACTGCCTTTATTGTGGTCCTGTTATCATCGTCACCGACACACATTGGCTGTTTGTCTGCAACACATTAAATTTTAATCTATGTGGAACTCATTGTCACAGAGGGCTCTGGAGGCCAGGTCATTGAGTGTATGTAAGACAGATAGGTTTTTAATTAGTAAGGGTGCCAAGCAGACTCTGTAGGCCAAGTGACCTAATTCTGCTCCTATATTTTATGGTCTAATGGTATTCTGATGCTTGTCTTTAAATCTCTCTATTGCTATGCTCTATGCCTTTTTTTCCCTCTCAGCAATTTCCTTCAAATATACCTGTACACCACCTATTAATCTTTTGCCCTTCTAACTCTGATCTTTTTGTGTATATTCTTCCTCCTCACCATTGAGGAAGGACTGCACAGTTAGTGTCCACACCTCAGAAACAGGATACCTGGGTTCAAGTCCCACTTACTCGAGGGGTATGTAATAACATCCTTGAACAGGTTGATTTTTTTTTTAAAAATAATGCGTAAATACATCTCTGTCTTTTCTGTTGGCATCAGAGCCTTCAGTGATCCTCATCCTATTCTCTGGTGTTCGTCACTCAAATTCTCCACCTTTTGAAAAAACTTCTTAAATTACAAAAACTTTGCATAAAAATTAATGTTCTTTAGACTAAGGACACTCTCTAGATAACATGCAGAATATTTGTTCTGCGTAAAAATTGGTATTTAACTATTCATAACCACTTAGCACTCAACTTGAAACCCCTTCCCCCTTTTAAGGTCATCTAAAACACACACACTTTTTTATCCTGGACAACAAGGTGCAGAGCTGGATGAACACAGCAGGCCAAGCAGCATCATAGGAGCAGAAAGGCTGACGTTTCGGGCCTAGACCCTTCATCAGAAAAGGGGGAGGGGAAGGGGGTTCTGAAATAAATAGGGAGAGAG